GATGAGACGTCGCAGCGACACAATGGGAATTGACACACAGATCCGTAGGCCTGTAAATACACGGACAAACAAGGTTAAAAAAAAAAAACAACAAAATCCTGAACCTTGTTGCTTTGCAGTTGTTTTCAGGAGAGGTAGAGGGGAGGGGAAAAAAGAACATGTTAATCAGATGAGGCTTTCTTGTAAAGCTGCTCATGGTGTGGTGGTGTGTCACACCACTTTGTCTCTAAATTAGATTTAACCCTGTTTTTTAAAGAGATGTGCCCCGACTGCCAGCACTGAGGTTGGTGTGTGTGTGTGTGTGCGTGCGTGTGTGTTCCTGCATGTTTTGTGTGTCTTTCCAGCCAATAATCCCAGAGGGTAACCATGTTTGCGTCATCTGAAGTCGCTGTTAGATGACGAGATGCTTGAAATAATATACTCATACACACAAAGCATACCCTCTGTGTTTTTATTGGAGCCAGCCTTCGGGCTGCAATGCAGTGCTCTTGTCGGGAGGAGAGCCTCTTATTTTGGAGAGAACAGACTAACAAACCTTCCCTCATCGGTTGCATGCAAATGATCAATTTCGATTAGATCCGAGCAAAGGTGTTTAAATGACAGTTGAAAAGGTCTGCCTTTGCAATTAAATGGGAAAAATAAAAGATAAAGAAACTTAAAAAAAAAAACCATAATGCTGCACATCCATGTATTTGTTGTTTTTACTGCGATGTACGTTGCTTTCTGGTTTGAACTGAAAAGTACAAATAGAAGTCACGTTTATTTCCGTGCCGCAGACAGCGGGGTCGTTCTCGACAGTTTATGCATCTACCCACAATGCATTGCAGAGAAAAAAAAAAAAAAACCCAGAGCTCTGCAGGTGAAAATATTTTTCCCTGATAAAGAAACAGTGACCTTGCATCTCTTGGTAATGTCTTATGATGCTGTTGATCAATAAATAACCACAAGACATCATGTGTTTCTCTTTCATGTGTTTCTTTTTATCTTCAAAAATTTCATTTAAAAAAAAACAAAAAACAATAGGTATATACATGGTCTCTCCAGTTTTAGTTTTGCATTTGTACTGACGGTCGTCATCCAATTGAGAACTACTGAGTGCGCAGACAGAGTTTCCGTCCATTAGAGGGACTCGGTGAGAACTTGACTTTTTGTGGTTGCATATAGAGGACAAGATGTACTCAGTGATGTTGTGGTGGGCAAAATGCTCTCTTAGAAATCTGGGATCTCTGTTGTTTTTGCTGTAACAGCTAAAATACATAAATTGTAGTCCTCACAGTACTTAATAAAGTTGCTTGGTTCTACTTTTTTTATTTATTTTTATAAACAGAAAAAAAAAAGCACCGTTACTACTGGTGACTATTGTATGAATAATAATCACATTTGTAACTTGTGTATCTTGTTATTTTAAGCTTGATAAACTGACTTAAACAATAAAGGACACAGACCACCTTAATTTTTTTGTTTGTAGTTGAGATCTCGTTGCACAGAACATGATATCTATTTGTCATTCTACTCAGGATAACAAGCTGATTTAGTTTGCTTATTGGGCAATCTGCTCAGGTGACCAGCCTATCGGCAGCTGCTTAGCAGATAATCTGAATTACCTTCTCAGAGGTGAATATCGCTACTTTTGTCTACATGCAATGACTGTTTATCTGACAACTAGCTGTGAATCATATTGCAGCAACTCAATGCATTTATCTAAAGGTGATGACATATTGAAGTTCAATACGAGTATTAAAATGGGAATGAAAAAGGATTTAAGTGACTTTGAATTGGTGTGTTTACTGAGTAGAGATGTGCTGGTATGAGAAACCCACCTCTGTAAAATCTTGCTATACCTTTTTAGTGGTAACCAGTTCATGCCGACATGTACAGTGTTGGCAAATAGTAAGAAACTATGTAGTGTGTAAGTGACGCTTGTCATAGATAACCACTAACACATAGAAATGCTATTGTGCTGTGATAGCCGTGTGAAATACTCAATTCGTCAATTATTCCATAACTTATCCTTGCAAATTGCAGATACATTAATATATTGAAGGAGACGCCTCATGGAAACTCCTGCAAATCTCTGGGGCTGGATTTTTTTTTTTGTTTTACTTTAATTACTTGTTGGGTAGTAAAAACCTATTTTGTGTTCCTTGTTAAGTTTTAACGGGGTGAAGAAACCAAAACTGGTTCATTCTTAAAATGTAGCAATGCCCTGTTTCCTCTAATGCTGGCTTAGAACGTGAAACGTTGCTGCAAAATCAATTTACAACCCATCATTTAGTCTAGATGAATGCAGAAGCTACAGTTGTTCAACTATAGCTTTGTAGAAAAAAGGTTTCCTTTGCTTTTTATTTGTTTTAATAAAAATCAAAACATGCAGTGTTAACCATCTTTAATGTAGCATGTAGTTGTGCTGAAGCAAAATGTGTTGTATTCTATACCTAACCTAATAACTTGGCCCGTGTAGGGGGTACGGGAGGGGGCAGAAAAGTGTTTCTCCAGAAATTTCCAACTTGTCCAGTCGCTGTTAAGAGATACAATCTTCTCAAATGCCTTACGATCCCGAACACGGATTCCTAGCTGTCGATTCATTTCAGTGCGGGCCGTAGTGGTGGCCCCAGCATCCATCCGACCATCAGACCAGCTCTGCTGCTAAACATGTGGCTTGAGTCTCGGCAGGCTGTGGCAGAGGTTAGCTTTCAGCCACTGTCTCTTCGTCTTTACTCTTTCCTGACACAGACATGTCGATGACTAACATGTTTTCATCTGCCGAAGATGAGTAAGCAAATCACACATGCTGAGTGTATGTATACAGTACCACAGGATGTACAGTGCTGTGAAAAGTATGTATTTCTTTACTTTCTCTTCTGTTTTAGCTTTTTTGTAACTTATTTGTGTTTTTGGTTTTTTTGGACAGTATTATAAAAAGCACAAGTAAACGTAAAAATCTTTCAGATTCCATCCTCATTTGTTTCTGTCTAAAAATCAACCTTACCCTATGTTATAAAGTAGCCACAACAAAAAAAAAATGTTCCACTTCAGAATTGATTTATTTCAGCCACATTATCTTAAGCTGGACTTTTGACGCGGCCAATCCAAGACTTTTAGTCCCAGCTGATATTTTCCAGTATTTAGCTGTTTGTTTTCATCACGTGGCTGCAGTCAGCGCCTTGGTATTTGCCATTAAGCATTATTTATTTCAGCACAAGTTCATAGTGGAAAATAAAAAGGCAATCTTTCAAATCTTCCATACGCTGAGCGTAATTTCAGAGCCTCCGGAAGCATTTAACACATATTAAAGAGCCAGCCTGCTGTCGAATGAGTTCAACTCATTCATATCTCTGCGGTGAGACTTGAGTGGCCGATGTGACTTGAGTGTGTCACCTGTTTTAGAAAAGAAAATCGCACCGAAAGCTCATGCTATTGATGCAGCAGCTGCCATGACGACGGCCTCTTGAATTAAGGTTATGTGGATTATTATGGGGTGACTCACACACAAAGCTAGGGAACTATTATTATGTAGACTCTCTTTTGAATTATTGTATATTTACAAAGGGACGTGTGTTTTTTTCTGGTTGCGTTGTGACTTCGGGTGCAGAGGGTTTTCTCTGTTTTGTGTGTGTGATGAATGGACACACATTCTGTGCATAACCATGCATACGGGATTTTATACATCAGCATTCAAAATGTTCTGCACAACGATACTCCCCTAGGAATTTGTCCCAGACAGTTTTTATGCATTATGGATTAAAATTTAAAAAAAAAAAAAAAAAAAGTAAAGCAAGTTCTTCATCAGAAACTTGGATGTTCTGAGCTTTCCAGACAGGGATAAATAATAAATAATTGATGGCATATGCTGTATGAAACTTCCACTTTTCCACTTTATAGCTGTGAGCAGCAGTAAGTTTCATTAGATCTCCTCCTGCGTGCGTGCACACACACACATACACAAGCACACACACACACACGCACGCACGCAACACACAAAGCCCCACTTGTGTGCCTCAGAGTGGCTGTGATTTGGCCGATTTTTTTTTTTTTCTTTGTTGTTGTTGTCGGTTTTTTTCTGCCACTGGTCCTCTAACTGGCTTATCTTGGAAGCCCACTGAGTTTTTCAGGTCAGGCTGGTTGCTGGCGCCTCCCTCACATATTGTGCTTCTTTATGCCCTCTCAAGAGCCCTAATTCAGATTGGAGGAACCCTGGATTATGAGTTCAGCACTGTGGTGTGCATTTATTACCTTCAGGAGCAGAGAGAGGCTTTCAGCTGTCTTTGAGTTTGAATCCGGTGAGCGCATCATTGTTTTCGAGTAAACGTGCAGATTTGGAGTGCGTTCACACTTTGACTTGTGGTCATCATCTTTTACGTACTGTAACAACAATCTGTGGTAAAAAAAAAATGGGCAATGAGATTGAAATGCAATTTGTTTATTTAAATCTGTTTAAACTGTTCTTTTTCAGAGTAGATGGACTGATAATACAGCATACAGGCTCAAAATACACACATACACACACAAATTCAGATCTCTACTAATATTTAAATAAATGTCCGTTAGTGAGTTGCAATAGACTAAACACTTTGCATCCATTACTGAGCTTCCTGCACGATTTTAGTTCATTTTTGTCACCCATTCTTATTATCAGGTGGATTTAATTTAAATTGTCTGGTTTCCTAGCACAGAGCTTTTACACATGATTCATACATTTCTAATAGGTTTGATGTCAAAGGTTTATTGGTGGCTTCTCTTCTGTCCATTTCAAACCTAGTTTAGATTTTCCTGCTTTTAACCCAATTGTGTCCAACTTTAATGTTTTTTTTTTTTTTCAGGTTAATTTTGAATCTTCATTATGTCGCCAACTGTTTGAACCTGTAATACTGACGACATCTCTGCTGACGCTGCCAGCAGAGATGTCTGCAATTCCTCACTGCTCAAAGAAAAGTCTTTGAACTGCGTCTTCTGCGTAACCACGTACCTCTGGACCAACGTGCTGCTCTTTCTGTTTGCAGATTTGGATGAGCCGTCTCTAGAGTTGTTTGACAGTGGTGTGAGGCAGCGAGATTCGCGCCAAGCACTCTCCCGGCAGCCATGCCGCCGCCGGCAGACATCGTCAAGGTGGCCATCGAGTGGCCCGGGGCCTTCCCGAAGCTCATGGAGATAGACCAGGTGGGTGTCTTATAAAAACACTGTCAATCTTTATCTGTTACATCCACACATCACTAGAGTTAAACAGCTGACGATTTGTTAACACTGTATACATAGTGCATATTTGGTGTGAACACACTGGCGCACAATAATCAGATTTTGTGTAACTAACAAAGACGCTCGGGGGGGCAACAGGGAGGTGGGATCCGGGCTAAAAGCAGCTTCTCCCATTTTTCTCAATAATGAGTCTAATTAGCCCAAAGGTAGGGCTCTTAATTAAAGATGTCTAATGGAAAAACGCAGCTACACAAGCACAGCTTCAAAGTTATTACACTGACTGCGGCAATCAAGCTTTCTCGATTAACCAAAGTCTTTAAACTCCGTTTGAATTCTTAAGTAGTACTTTGAAGTCCTTGCACCGGTTTATTTGATAGTTGACCTGTGATTAAAATAAAATCTATTTTGGATCCCATATAAAGAGCTGTTTTCATACTCGCTGTAAGTTCACACATGCGCCCAGCCCAGCAAGACGGGTGTATGGTGTCGCACGTCTGAGACGGGAAGATTTTGAATAAAACTTACATCACCGTCAAACAATTTTTTTTTCAAGAATTTGTTCATCATAGCCTCATGCAGTCCCTGTTTGATCAATGTAAATGTTTAGAGTTTTGATTTAGAAATTCAGATTTTACTATAATGTATATTTGATGCTCTACACACCACATTCTTGCCGTAGCATCAACAGATATTCGCACTCAACAACAGCTGCTTGTAAATGGGTTACATCTATATAGCAAATACAAAAAAAATAATCTTGACTGCTCATTCAGTGGGATTTTAAAAAAACAAGTTTGGTTCGGTGGAAATTTCTCCCTCTAACACCCACTCAGACACAGATGAGCGCATTATGGACATGTTGTAAGGTTCATATTATTGGCTGAGGACTCGTTTTGATTTCGTGACTGGGTGGAGGCTCAACGTTTGAGCTACAGTAACAGTCTGAGCCTGTCTGTTTGTGATCCAACAAACCCAAAAAGACGAAAAACAATTGATCTTTATGGTTAGTTTTGAGAGAATCTCTGTTATGTAATATTGCGCACTTCCTCTAATAGTCTCTTGCTGCTATTTAGAAGATCATCAGGCCGCTGTGAGATTCTCGCAGTGAGATAATCATGAGTGAAAATAAATAGCATAATCAGTTTAAAAGAGCATTTGCTTTTATTGACCAGACATATCTTCCAAACTGCCGTGTTGGTCTTTTCGTAAATAAGAAGAAGGCTTATCTGTGCGCGGGTAGCAACGTGTGGAGGAAGAGTAGCGCTCCATTACTTTGTGCTCCACACAGAAAACACATTCACGTCCTCTGACAGCTTGTTAAAACGACTTCAAACAACAGAAACAGAAAGTTTCATAAATGTCTGTGTAACTATATCAATAAGGGGCCGATGTCTACTGGGAAATTTAGCGGCACATATTGCAAATCTCACCATATTATAGCTACCTCACAAAGCGCTGAGTTTCTCCCACATCTCTGCACCGAAGTTGGCCTTCGACTCTGACTGCTTGTTTTTTGTTTTTGTTTTTTTGTTTTTTACTCCACCTAGTTGTATTTTTAGCTAATTTATGAACATGTTATGACTTATCTGATCATAACATGACTTTACATTGTTACATAATTGTAATTACTGAGATGAAATGTCAATTTGGGATTTTAATCTGCTGCTGCAGTGGGAGCTGGACAACAAATTTAAAAGAAAAAAAGAAAAACAAAGTGGGCTTCTAACTTGAAAGTGTGTAGTTAAACAAGAACTTTGGTTTAATTTCTCATCATTAGATTCATTGAAAAGCTGGTAACTGAACTGCTTTGAAGTTTAACAATTTGCTTAAGCGCGCTGGCTGCTAATTTAAGGTGAATATTAACCTTTTTTTTTAAATTATCATTACGGCCTGCTCTGAATGTCAACCGATGGTCGGTGTCTGACAAACGGTGACTAACTCGGTAATAAAATAATTAGCCCAAATAATGACTACCTCGCATAAAGAGGACATGTTTGCTGTTTGATTGTGGCCTTTTTCTCTGTGCCCGTGTGTGTGTGTGTGTGTGTGTGTGTGTGTGTGTGTGTGTGTGTGTGTGTGTGTGTGTGTGTGTGTGTGACTCACAGATGGGTTAATTACTGTACAAGCTATGAGTCACTGAGGCAACTGGAGCTACAAATGCCCTTCTCATTGGATAATCCAATGAATGGGGCATTGAACTATGGAGTACTTGTGCTTCTGGTTTTCCTACGAGTCGTTTTGGAAAAAAAAAATACAGAGTGTAGATTGAGGGATGTGCTGAGATGTTTTACGAACTACTTATTGTAAACTGGCTTTAGTATAGTTTTGCATCTTAAGCTCTTGAACCCACCTGCCTCCGTCGCTCGTTCCTCCGCGTTTCTCCAACTCTCTTATCTGTCATCTCTCTCTCTCTTGTTCCACCTATTTCTTTTCTCCTCCTCCTTGTCGCTCTTTGCCTCTCCCTCTCATTCATCCCCCCCGCTCACTCCTCCTCCCTCCTTTGTGTTGTTACTGTGAAACTTGCGCTCTTCCTCTTCTTCTCTTGTCCTCTACCACCAGCCCTCCCCTCCCTGTCTCTCCTCCTCCTCCTCCTCCTCCTCTTGCATCTCCTCGGTACAATAGGCCCTGCAGTAGCATATGGCTGTCTGAGTCATGCGATGAGGAGTGGGCTTCTGCTGCTTGAGTTGTCTGAACCCAGCAAAAAGATTGTTCGTTTATAAGCGGGGGTGCGCGTGAATGCAAATGTGTGCGTCTGCCTTTGTTTTTGTTGTTGTTCCGTTAATTGTTGATGCGGGTACGGCCCCTTCTTGTGCGATTTCATTATGCAGATGTGTTTGCATGGGAGCTGTTTTGGTGCGGATGCTGATGNAAAAAAGAACATGTTAATCAGATGAGGCTTTCTTGTAAAGCTGCTCATGGTGTGGTGGTGTGTCACACCACTTTGTCTCTAAATTAGATTTAACCCTGTTTTTTAAAGAGATGTGCCCCGACTGCCAGCACTGAGGTTGGTGTGTGTGTGTGTGCGTGCGTGTGTGTTCCTGCATGTTTTGTGTGTCTTTCCAGCCAATAATCCCAGAGGGTAACCATGTTTGCGTCATCTGAAGTCGCTGTTAGATGACGAGATGCTTGAAATAATATACTCATACACACAAAGCATACCCTCTGTGTTTTTATTGGAGCCAGCCTTCGGGCTGCAATGCAGTGCTCTTGTCGGGAGGAGAGCCTCTTATTTTGGAGAGAACAGACTAACAAACCTTCCCTCATCGGTTGCATGCAAATGATCAATTTCGATTAGATCCGAGCAAAGGTGTTTAAATGACAGTTGAAAAGGTCTGCCTTTGCAATTAAATGGGAAAAATAAAAGATAAAGAAACTTAAAAAAAAAACCATAATGCTGCACATCCATGTATTTGTTGTTTTTACTGCGATGTACGTTGCTTTCTGGTTTGAACTGAAAAGTACAAATAGAAGTCACGTTTATTTCCGTGCCGCAGACAGCGGGGTCGTTCTCGACAGTTTATGCATCTACCCACAATGCATTGCAGAGAAAAAAAAAAAAAAACCCAGAGCTCTGCAGGTGAAAATATTTTTCCCTGATAAAGAAACAGTGACCTTGCATCTCTTGGTAATGTCTTATGATGCTGTTGATCAATAAATAACCACAAGACATCATGTGTTTCTCTTTCATGTGTTTCTTTTTATCTTCAAAAATTTCATTTAAAAAAAAACAAAAAACAATAGGTATATACATGGTCTCTCCAGTTTTAGTTTTGCATTTGTACTGACGGTCGTCATCCAATTGAGAACTACTGAGTGCGCAGACAGAGTTTCCGTCCATTAGAGGGACTCGGTGAGAACTTGACTTTTTGTGGTTGCATATAGAGGACAAGATGTACTCAGTGATGTTGTGGTGGGCAAAATGCTCTCTTAGAAATCTGGGATCTCTGTTGTTTTTGCTGTAACAGCTAAAATACATAAATTGTAGTCCTCACAGTACTTAATAAAGTTGCTTGGTTCTACTTTTTTTATTTATTTTTATAAACAGAAAAAAAAAAGCACCGTTACTACTGGTGACTATTGTATGAATAATAATCACATTTGTAACTTGTGTATCTTGTTATTTTAAGCTTGATAAACTGACTTAAACAATAAAGGACACAGACCACCTTAATTTTTTTGTTTGTAGTTGAGATCTCGTTGCACAGAACATGATATCTATTTGTCATTCTACTCAGGATAACAAGCTGATTTAGTTTGCTTATTGGGCAATCTGCTCAGGTGACCAGCCTATCGGCAGCTGCTTAGCAGATAATCTGAATTACCTTCTCAGAGGTGAATATCGCTACTTTTGTCTACATGCAATGACTGTTTATCTGACAACTAGCTGTGAATCATATTGCAGCAACTCAATGCATTTATCTAAAGGTGATGACATATTGAAGTTCAATACGAGTATTAAAATGGGAATGAAAAAGGATTTAAGTGACTTTGAATTGGTGTGTTTACTGAGTAGAGATGTGCTGGTATGAGAAACCCACCTCTGTAAAATCTTGCTATACCTTTTTAGTGGTAACCAGTTCATGCCGACATGTACAGTGTTGGCAAATAGTAAGAAACTATGTAGTGTGTAAGTGACGCTTGTCATAGATAACCACTAACACATAGAAATGCTATTGTGCTGTGATAGCCGTGTGAAATACTCAATTCGTCAATTATTCCATAACTTATCCTTGCAAATTGCAGATACATTAATATATTGAAGGAGACGCCTCATGGAAACTCCTGCAAATCTCTGGGGCTGGATTTTTTTTTTTGTTTTACTTTAATTACTTGTTGGGTAGTAAAAACCTATTTTGTGTTCCTTGTTAAGTTTTAACGGGGTGAAGAAACCAAAACTGGTTCATTCTTAAAATGTAGCAATGCCCTGTTTCCTCTAATGCTGGCTTAGAACGTGAAACGTTGCTGCAAAATCAATTTACAACCCATCATTTAGTCTAGATGAATGCAGAAGCTACAGTTGTTCAACTATAGCTTTGTAGAAAAAAGGTTTCCTTTGCTTTTTATTTGTTTTAATAAAAATCAAAACATGCAGTGTTAACCATCTTTAATGTAGCATGTAGTTGTGCTGAAGCAAAATGTGTTGTATTCTATACCTAACCTAATAACTTGGCCCGTGTAGGGGGTACGGGAGGGGGCAGAAAAGTGTTTCTCCAGAAATTTCCAACTTGTCCAGTCGCTGTTAAGAGATACAATCTTCTCAAATGCCTTACGATCCCGAACACGGATTCCTAGCTGTCGATTCATTTCAGTGCGGGCCGTAGTGGTGGCCCCAGCATCCATCCGACCATCAGACCAGCTCTGCTGCTAAACATGTGGCTTGAGTCTCGGCAGGCTGTGGCAGAGGTTAGCTTTCAGCCACTGTCTCTTCGTCTTTACTCTTTCCTGACACAGACATGTCGATGACTAACATGTTTTCATCTGCCGAAGATGAGTAAGCAAATCACACATGCTGAGTGTATGTATACAGTACCACAGGATGTACAGTGCTGTGAAAAGTATGTATTTCTTTACTTTCTCTTCTGTTTTAGCTTTTTTGTAACTTATTTGTGTTTTTGGTTTTTTTGGACAGTATTATAAAAAGCACAAGTAAACGTAAAAATCTTTCAGATTCCATCCTCATTTGTTTCTGTCTAAAAATCAACCTTACCCTATGTTATAAAGTAGCCACAACAAAAAAAAAATGTTCCACTTCAGAATTGATTTATTTCAGCCACATTATCTTAAGCTGGACTTTTGACGCGGCCAATCCAAGACTTTTAGTCCCAGCTGATATTTTCCAGTATTTAGCTGTTTGTTTTCATCACGTGGCTGCAGTCAGCGCCTTGGTATTTGCCATTAAGCATTATTTATTTCAGCACAAGTTCATAGTGGAAAATAAAAAGGCAATCTTTCAAATCTTCCATACGCTGAGCGTAATTTCAGAGCCTCCGGAAGCATTTAACACATATTAAAGAGCCAGCCTGCTGTCGAATGAGTTCAACTCATTCATATCTCTGCGGTGAGACTTGAGTGGCCGATGTGACTTGAGTGTGTCACCTGTTTTAGAAAAGAAAATCGCACCGAAAGCTCATGCTATTGATGCAGCAGCTGCCATGACGACGGCCTCTTGAATTAAGGTTATGTGGATTATTATGGGGTGACTCACACACAAAGCTAGGGAACTATTATTATGTAGACTCTCTTTTGAATTATTGTATATTTACAAAGGGACGTGTGTTTTTTTCTGGTTGCGTTGTGACTTCGGGTGCAGAGGGTTTTCTCTGTTTTGTGTGTGTGATGAATGGACACACATTCTGTGCATAACCATGCATACGGGATTTTATACATCAGCATTCAAAATGTTCTGCACAACGATACTCCCCTAGGAATTTGTCCCAGACAGTTTTTATGCATTATGGATTAAAATTTAAAAAAAAAAAAAAAAAAAGTAAAGCAAGTTCTTCATCAGAAACTTGGATGTTCTGAGCTTTCCAGACAGGGATAAATAATAAATAATTGATGGCATATGCTGTATGAAACTTCCACTTTTCCACTTTATAGCTGTGAGCAGCAGTAAGTTTCATTAGATCTCCTCCTGCGTGCGTGCACACACACACATACACAAGCACACACACACACACGCACGCACGCAACACACAAAGCCCCACTTGTGTGCCTCAGAGTGGCTGTGATTTGGCCGATTTTTTTTTTTTTCTTTGTTGTTGTTGTCGGTTTTTTTCTGCCACTGGTCCTCTAACTGGCTTATCTTGGAAGCCCACTGAGTTTTTCAGGTCAGGCTGGTTGCTGGCGCCTCCCTCACATATTGTGCTTCTTTATGCCCTCTCAAGAGCCCTAATTCAGATTGGAGGAACCCTGGATTATGAGTTCAGCACTGTGGTGTGCATTTATTACCTTCAGGAGCAGAGAGAGGCTTTCAGCTGTCTTTGAGTTTGAATCCGGTGAGCGCATCATTGTTTTCGAGTAAACGTGCAGATTTGGAGTGCGTTCACACTTTGACTTGTGGTCATCATCTTTTACGTACTGTAACAACAATCTGTGGTAAAAAAAAAATGGGCAATGAGATTGAAATGCAATTTGTTTATTTAAATCTGTTTAAACTGTTCTTTTTCAGAGTAGATGGACTGATAATACAGCATACAGGCTCAAAATACACACATACACACACAAATTCAGATCTCTACTAATATTTAAATAAATGTCCGTTAGTGAGTTGCAATAGACTAAACACTTTGCATCCATTACTGAGCTTCCTGCACGATTTTAGTTCATTTTTGTCACCCATTCTTATTATCAGGTGGATTTAATTTAAATTGTCTGGTTTCCTAGCACAGAGCTTTTACACATGATTCATACATTTCTAATAGGTTTGATGTCAAAGGTTTATTGGTGGCTTCTCTTCTGTCCATTTCAAACCTAGTTTAGATTTTCCTGCTTTTAACCCAATTGTGTCCAACTTTAATGTTTTTTTTTTTTTTCAGGTTAATTTTGAATCTTCATTATGTCGCCAACTGTTTGAACCTGTAATACTGACGACATCTCTGCTGACGCTGCCAGCAGAGATGTCTGCAATTCCTCACTGCTCAAAGAAAAGTCTTTGAACTGCGTCTTCTGCGTAACCACGTACCTCTGGACCAACGTGCTGCTCTTTCTGTTTGCAGATTTGGATGAGCCGTCTCTAGAGTTGTTTGACAGTGGTGTGAGGCAGCGAGATTCGCGCCAAGCACTCTCCCGGCAGCCATGCCGCCGCCGGCAGACATCGTCAAGGTGGCCATCGAGTGGCCCGGGGCCTTCCCGAAGCTCATGGAGATAGACCAGGTGGGTGTCTTATAAAAACACTGTCAATCTTTATCTGTTACATCCACACATCACTAGAGTTAAACAGCTGACGATTTGTTAACACTGTATACATAGTGCATATTTGGTGTGAACACACTGGCGCACAATAATCAGATTTTGTGTAACTAACAAAGACGCTCGGGGGGGCAACAGGGAGGTGGGATCCGGGCTAAAAGCAGCTTCTCCCATTTTTCTCAATAATGAGTCTAATTAGCCCAAAGGTAGGGCTCTTAATTAAAGATGTCTAATGGAAAAACGCAGCTACACAAGCACAGCTTCAAAGTTATTACACTGACTGCGGCAATCAAGCTTTCTCGATTAACCAAAGTCTTTAAACTCCGTTTGAATTCTTAAGTAGTACTTTGAAGTCCTTGCACCGGTTTATTTGATAGTTGACCTGTGATTAAAATAAAATCTATTTTGGATCCCATATAAAGAGCTGTTTTCATACTCGCTGTAAGTTCACACATGCGCCCAGCCCAGCAAGACGGGTGTATGGTGTCGCACGTCTGAGACGGGAAGATTTTGAATAAAACTTACATCACCGTCAAACAATTTTTTTTTCAAGAATTTGTTCATCATAGCCTCATGCAGTCCCTGTTTGATCAATGTAAATGTTTAGAGTTTTGATTTAGAAATTCAGATTTTACTATAATGTATATTTGATGCTCTACACACCACATTCTTGCCGTAGCATCAACAGATATTCGCACTCAACAACAGCTGCTTGTAAATGGGTTACATCTATATAGCAAATACAAAAAAAATAATCTTGACTGCTCATTCAGTGGGATTTTAAAAAAACAAGTTTGGTTCGGTGGAAATTTCTCCCTCTAACACCCACTCAGACACAGATGAGCGCATTATGGACATGTTGTAAGGTTCATATTATTGGCTGAGGACTCGTTTTGATTTCGTGACTGGGTGGAGGCTCAACGTTTGAGCTACAGTAACAGTCTGAGCCTGTCTGTTTGTGATCCAACAAACCCAAAAAGACGAAAAACAATTGATCTTTATGGTTAGTTTTGAGAGAATCTCTGTTATGTAATATTGCGCACTTCCTCTAATAGTCTCTTGCTGCTATTTAGAAGATCATCAGGCCGCTGTGAGATTCTCGCAGTGAGATAATCATGAGTGAAAATAAATAGCATAATCAGTTTAAAAGAGCATTTGCTTTTATTGACCAGACATATCTTCCAAACTGCCGTGTTGGTCTTTTCGTAAATAAGAAGAAGGCTTATCTGTGCGCGGGTAGCAACGTGTGGAGGAAGAGTAGCGCTCCATTACTTTGTGCTCCACACAGAAAACACATTCACGTCCTCTGACAGCTTGTTAAAACGACTTCAAACAACAGAAACAGAAAGTTTCATAAATGTCTGTGTAACTATATCAATAAGGGGCCGATGTCTACTGGGAAATTTAGCGGCACATATTGCAAATCTCACCATATTATAGCTACCTCACAAAGCGCTGAGTTTCTCCCACATCTCTGCACCGAAGTTGGCCTTCGACTCTGACTGCTTGTTTTTTGTTTTTGTTTTTTTGTTTTTTACTCCACCTAGTTGTATTTTTAGCTAATTTATGAACATGTTATGACTTATCTGATCATAACATGACTTTACATTGTTACATAATTGTAATTACTGAAATGAAATGTCAATTTGGGATTTTAATCTGCTGCTGCAGTGGGAGCTGGACAACAAATTTAAAAGAAAAAAAGAAAAACAAAGTGGGCTTCTAACTTGAAAGTGTGTAGTTAAACAAGAACTTTGGTTTAATTTCTCATCATTAGATTCATTGAAAAGCTGGTAACTGAACTGCTTTGAAGTTTAACAATTTGCTTAAGCGCGCTGGCTGCTAATTTAAGGTGAATATTAACCTTTTTTTTTAAATTATCATTACGGCCTGCTCTGAATGTCAACCGATGGTCGGTGTCTGACAAACGGTGACTAACTCGGTAATAAAATAATTAGCCCAAATAATGACTACCTCGCATAAAGAGGACATGTTTGCTGTTTGATTGTGGCCTTTTTCTCTGTGCCCGTGTGTGTGTGTGTGTGTGTGTGTGTGTGTGTGTGTGTGTGTGTGTGTGTGTGTGTGTGTGTGTGTGTGACTCACAGATGGGTTAATTACTGTACAAGCTATGAGTCACTGAGGCAACTGGAGCTACAAATGCCCTTCTCATTGGATAATCCAATGAATGGGGCATTGAACTATGGAGTACTTGTGCTTCTGGTTTTCCTACGAGTCGTTTTGGAAAAAAAAAATACAGAGTGTAGATTGAGGGATGTGCTGAGATGTTTTACGAACTACTTATTGTAAACTGGCTTTAGTATAGTTTTGCATCTTAAGCTCTTGAACCCACCTGCCTCCGTCGCTCGTTCCTCCGCGTTTCTCCAACTCTCTTATCTGTCATCTCTCTCTCTCTTGTTCCACCTATTTCTTTTCTCCTCCTCCTTGTCGCTCTTTGCCTCTCCCTCTCATTCATCCCCCCCGCTCACTCCTCCTCCCTCCTTTGTGTTGTTACTGTGAAACTTGCGCTCTTCCTCTTCTTCTCTTGTCCTCTACCACCAGCCCTCCCCTCCCTGTCTCTCCTCCTCCTCCTCCTCCTCCTCTTGCATCTCCTCGGTACAATAGGCCCTGCAGTAGCATATGGCTGTCTGAGTCATGCGATGAGGAGTGGGCTTCTGCTGCTTGAGTTGTCTGAACCCAGCAAAAAGATTGTTCGTTTATAAGCGGGGGTGCGCGTGAATGCAAATGTGTGCGTCTGCCTTTGTTTTTGTTGTTGTTCCGTTAATTGTTGATGCGGGTACGGCCCCTTCTTGTGCGATTTCATTATGCAGATGTGTTTGCATGGGAGCTGTTTTGGTGCGGATGCTGATGCGTTTGCAGTCATTTTCGTTTGTTTCCGGCTTCTGTCGATGTTTGTGTTGTCTAATTTATCTGGTTGAGGTTTGCAGGTTCACCCTTAACGAGCACTAGTTGAACGCTCACGGGTTGAAACTTAATTGATTCGTGTTCATATCTCGCCACCTAAAATTCAGAACTTCCTCTCAATTTCTGACACTTGACCTCTGTCTCCATATAGGGATATAATCTCTAAAACGTACATAAAGCCATGATGTAATAAGACGGCAAGTAGACTTTGGCAGCCTCTTTATGTCTGCTAAATTTTGCCCTCATTCACATTATTTTCCTGGCTAATTTGAATACTCCATTGTATTTGTCTTTAATTTCACTGGCATAGATAGAAAAATAACGATCCAGCCTCTTTTTATCTGCAGAAACGGGATCAAAGATGCACCAACGATGCAGATTTTATTACAACACTGTTGAAATCAGAGCATTTATGAAATGTAGAAAAACATAAAGTTGGCCAGAAAACGGGGTTTACATCAGGTTGCCTTTGACAGACTGGAGGTTCACTAACCCCGTCCTGCAGCATGGCGAAGTGTCCTTGAGAAAGACCATGTTCCCTGAGCTGCCAGCGAAGTCTTCTTCAGATATAATTAAGTGAGAGTAATTAAAGAGTTGCGTATAAAGTGTAGTGATATGCACACACATCCAACAGGCAGCACTCTTTGTGTCTGCATTACAAACTCCTTGCAAGACATTTGGCAAAATCCAGCGAAACAACAAAAAATACAAGTTTATTGCCAGTTATCATTGCAAAGGCTTCTCTCCTGCTGCTTTGTGTTCTGAGACAAGGACAGTCATCCCAACAAATGGACTAGTCATTTCGTAGCAGAGGCGTATATAGAAATATCTTTAATGTCTGACTCAAAAGATTTGCATTTGCTCAAAAATGCTGGTAAAAGTGCAAAGTAGTGTAGTGTTTAAAAAAAAAAAAAAAGGTTTTGTTGGGAAAATGTTTTTCAACCAAAGGATGGGAAGGTAGCTCTCTGTCCCGGCTGTTATTAAGTACTTGATAATAAACAATATTTGTAACTTATAAGAAAATGTGGACTTCAAGGAATAGGATACTGATGGTTTTGTTTTGAGGTTTACATGGACAAAAAAACACTCCAACTGTTGATCTGATTTACAGGCCGCACAACAAAAGTCATAGGATTAAACAGATTTTACTTTGCTGGAATGTTTGGGCTGCAGAGCACCGTTTACCTTAAAAAAAAAAAACAAAAAAAAAAAACAAAACGGCAATAGTTGACTTTCTCATTTGACCCAATATATATTTTCATTTTTTTATTCTGCTTTCTCAGTTCTTAGCGCACTGCGCTCCAGGGCGTACATCACAAAGCGCAAGTCTGCTGCATTGTGACAATTATAGGACAACAAAGCAGTGCAGCCAAAATACGAAACTGTACGTCTATGCATAATGACACAGAGGCGGCAGTGATCCAAATCGCCGAATTCAATTACGCCCTGCTCGGTATGCGACCTTATTTACCTTATGTTTATCAAAAATAATACTGTTTAGGTTTAGAGGAATCTGAATGACTTGAATTATTTCAAAGAGGAACAAAATAGATTTTGCAAATTTAAAAAAAAAAAAAAAAAAACTAAGAAATGAAAAGACTAATCCTTCATGCAAGGGACGCCCTCATCACGATCCAGGAATCTTTCAGTATATCTGACTTGACACATTCAGTTGAAACCAAATATTTCTGTACACTGGAGGAAAAGATGCATTACGGGGTTTTTTTTTTTGTTTGTTTGTTTTATTTGCTGTCTGACATTGAATCATCCTAAATGTTTTTTGTCACTATTTGCTAAATGCCTGGATAGTGAGATTTTTTCCAATTTCTTTTTTTTCAAACCCACAAGTTTACATTCACTACAATCAAACATACTATTTCTTATTGGGACATAAAAAAAAACAAACAAAAAAAAAAAACGTGATATCAGGGAGAAAAACCTGAATCTCATATAAAAATATAAATACGTCGGTGCCAAATGAACAAAATGAAAAGAGCTGAGGAAAATAACCGAAGCTGGCTCGAGAGTGCCATTATTCACAATGCAATAAGTCCGGTTTGAACATGGTTTAAAAGGCAACTACTAGTATTCCAAAAGCATCAAAAGAAACTAGAGAGCAAATGCATTCAGTGACAAAAACCATCGTCGCGTTTTGGAGGAAAAAAGGGGGAAGCTTACAAATGTGAGAACACCGACTTAATTATGAAACATGGGAGTGGCGACATTGTGTTATCGTGGTGCTTTGCCGCAGAGGGGACAAATAGATAGCATCATGAGGAAACGCAGTGTAGAAATATTACAGCAACATATCAAGACATGAACCAGTCAGGTTTTTTTTTTTTTTTTGTTCTCGCACTGCTCTGAAGTCAATCCTAGAGAACAAACCTGACTTATTTACATCAGTTCTGTCTGGCAAAAAAAAGTGCTTTATTTAGTCAATTTGCACATCTTTCTACATTTTTTTTTCCCGATTTTGCAAGTATTGTTCATGACCAGTGTTGTACTGCTATTGAGCCTCTCTATCAACTCTAAACTTTGATTATTAGCGGATGAGTCATTGGGCACCAAAGAAATTAAAACCAAGTGAAAAGTCTTCACCAAAAAAGGTGCTATTTAAAAGAAACTAAATTGTTTATGAGCAGACTGAGCTCCCACATCCACATTATCACGCCTCCCAACGGCTCCGTTAGGTTTGAAAAGTAACATCAGAAGCTTCGGGTCTCTTTCTCTCGAACGCCTTCGAAAACATCCAGTGAAGTGTCGCCGTTATGAAAAGTCGTCGTCTCTCACCGCCTCGTGAGATTCGGTTTCTGAATCTGCTTTGGATTTTGTTGGTTTGTGGCATTTCAAAATGCTCGAAGAATGTTTGTTTGTTTTTTCTTTTGTTTTTTTTTTTTCCATCTGGAAAAAGGAAAAATTGGGAAAATATTTGTGTTTACGGATGTTTATACCCATCATATTGTTTAAATGTTGTGTCCCTCTTTCCCTCCATTTGTGTCTCCTTCCTTTTTTCCCCCTTCTATTTTATTCCTTCATTTATTGTCATACTCTATTTACCTCCTTTCTTTAATTTTTCTTTCTTTAGCTTTTCTCATTAGTCCATTTTTCCCCCCACTTACTTTGTCTTCCTGTTGTTTGATATTTCTTTGACATTTGCACCTCTCTGCTTTTTTTTCTTTCCTTCTAAAACCTTTCCTGACTCCTTTATTCTGTCATTCCTCCTTTATGTTCTTCTTTGCACATATTCTCAGCTCTGCTTTTTTTTTTTTTTTGCAGGCTCCATATTTTAAAGCCTTTCCACTGCAGTTCGTAGTTTGAGTGTGGAGTCTCTCCATAAAAAATGTAGAAACCTTTGGGTTCGGTAACAAGTCGGCTGCCGTGTACAAATCAATACTGAGACGAGTAAGGTTTACGTGGGATTTGATGTTGAATTTATGAATGTTTACAAACATAACTTACTCTATCGTCAATTCTGCATTTTGATTATGTACTTTAACACGATCCGAAACTAAATTTTAAAGCTTAATCTTTTCTGTTCCCTCTTATTGTGCCCACATATGTTCCCTAATCTAAATCAAGAGACAAGTTTCACTTTCGATTGTTTTATTTGCTTTTGTTTTTTGTTTTTTTTAACTAAAGTTTTTTGAGGAATTGAGAAGTTTTGTTGTGTTTCATTGTACTGCTAAGATGAGCAAAAAGTTTTAAAAATGCAATTAAGAATGTGAACTAATGCGCTCCTCAAAGCTGCCAGAGGTAGGATGCCTCTGCTGTGGCCTGAGAAGGTCTTTTAGCGCAGCACAAAATGAAAGAAACGGAGCAATAGACTACACATGGTCGGCAAACTCGGAACAGCAGTAAGACAAACAAACAAGATGAACAGTCTCTCATTGTTCGAGCCCTGCTGTTTGAAATAATTGCAGCCCACTCTGGATTGAGTGGAACGTCAGTCTGGACTGTGAACCTAATGTCGTTTCCTCTTTATCCGCAGAAAAAGCCCCTTTCAGCCATTATAAAGGAAGTGTGTGAGGGGTAAGTGTGCGGCATGCATTGGAAAGTGCTTATTCTTCATTATACATTTTTGAAATGCTATTAGGTTCAAGATTTTCTTTACTTTTTTTTTAATATCGGCTAAAGCGTTCATGTTTTTATTTCATTTGTTTCCAGATGGTCTTTGGGGAGCCATGAAACCTATGCTCTGCAGATTGCCGATGCAACAAATTTCTACATCACAGAAAAGGTCTGGTTGTCAGATTTTTATATTTTTTTTTTTCACTATAGCCTCCATCTGGGACGAAAGAGAAGCTATGAGCGCATGCTAATTTGTGCTTGCATGTTGGAAATCTTCCACAGAATCGCAATGACATCAAAAATGGCTCCATCCTGCGTCTAACCACTTCTCCCGTAAGTTTTGACTTCTCTAAACAACATTTAATAAAAAGAAAAGAAAGCTAAACAACATGAATGTTTGTGTTTTGCCTTCTAGTACCAGACGGCCCTCCAGCTTCATGAACGGATCCAGTCGTCCAGCATGGATGCAAAGCTGGAGTCGCTGAAAGACCTGGCCAACGCTTCCAGGGACATCACCTTCGCGCAGGAGTTCATCAACCTGGACGGCATCTCGCTGCTCACTCAGATGGTGGAAAGCGGCACTGAGTAAGTTGAACTGTTTGCTCGTCTTACGCTGTGTTTTCCTTTCTCTTGAGATGACTTGTCTCTCCTCTCATTTTTCCAAATGTGTTTTCATCTGAATTTGGGAAGAAGCCATTGACATTTATTTACGTTTCAAAATGAATACGCTCTAAGACTTTTAAGGACGCCAACTCAAATTAAACCTCAGAGCAGTTTTTGCTTTTCTTGTTTTCAGTTATTGATTTATTTAAATCTGTGACACAGTAGCCCTCACTTATCAAGCAGATGAAAAACGGATTTTCTGTACAGTCATTTCATGTTGATATATATTTTAGAGAGAACTACAGCAGAAGAAATGCAGACTGATTAAAACTGGTGGTCTGCATGACCCAAATCATAAGCTGCACAAGTTGTCAGTGCAGTCGTCTATAGGTGTGTCCTCATAAAGTTAACATAGAACTGAATTTAAGGAAGAAAACCTGGCCCTCCAGAGCTATTAGAGTGCAGAAATTATTTTTGGACAATAGCTGTCAATGCGTCATGAATGTATTTGTTTCTGCCACTTGTGTGACCTGGCCAATATTCACTCACCTCAGCATGCCAGATGCTTGAGCTTCACTTCTTGGTCACACTCATAGGGCACTGAAACGCTGTAATCAGACGTTTAGTTGACCCTTAAACATAAAAAGCCCTCCAAATAATTAGATAGGAATTGTGACTGCACAGCAAAAGCAACATACTCAATCCTCTAAATTCAGCTCAGCAAACAAAATCACCTTTATTTCCTATGTAGCAGCTGTTTTTCAGCTCACCAGCATACATGGCAAGGTAAAGTGTCACCCAGGTGTGAAAACAGGAAGTGTAGAGAAAAGGTCCTGTGAGTTTAATGGATGCTACAAGTTTTGAGATCTTTGAAGATTTGTGTTAAGCGGAGGACGGGTGTCTCTTTAAACCATCAAGGGTGAAGATTAATGTTCATTAGTTTCCTAAGGTGAAATCCATCAGTATTTTATGCTTGATGCAGTTTTTATTATCCAACTCTTTGGTCTGCAAAGAGAAAGTTGATGAAATCGAGAACATCACACAATGTCAAACACGTCCTTAATATAGTGCTGTGAAAATCTAAACCTGCTGTGGAGAAGAAGAAAAACACGCTGTCAGGTCCTGTCACACTCTACGCACTGAATGTTTCCAAGCAGTTTGTGCCGGTTTTTAAAACGATAGTGCTATGTAGTTTTTGTTTTGCAGGTTCAAATTGTGGCCAGAGAGCTAAACGTCTTCCTTTCTGCTGAAACGCCGTAATGCTCTCCCATTTCTGCCCACTAGCCTGTTTGGTTACATGGAAAATCACTCCTTAATTTAAAATTCTGAAGTTCAAAATGAGCAAATACTTGCCTCTTATTTAGTGTTACTGTCCATTTCTTTTACAGCATCACACTTGTTAGCTCTGCTCATGCTCCGGGCTCTTTGATTGCATATACTTTTTATGTAAATGACTGCTTTAGTTATTCGGCTGGAGAGAGCTTGAGATAAATGTGTGTGTGTGGGTAAAGGAGACGATGCAGAGCGAGTGCTTCTGCTGCACTTTCATATCAACAAAAGGAGCTTATTAGACCCAGAAATGTAGATGGATATCAGAAACAAACATTCACACACTCATTAGTGCGCCTGGCAGCCAACTTGGCGAACTGTAATTATTCAGGAGGCGCAATGCTTGAGACTCCTGAGGGCAGAGCCGCTGTTTGATCTGATGCCTCTCCCAAAAGCGTGAGGCCCTGCATTCATGTGGAAATCAGCCGGCGGGATGCTGCTGCTGTCCACCAGAGCTGTGTTGCGTACAAGCAGATGTCGCCCTCTACTGACAAAACGTGGCGTAGCAAGTTATGTTTTTCTTTTTTTTTTCTTTTTTAGATCAGAGCAAAAAGAAAAAAGAGCATACCTAATTTATTTCATTGCATCTGTGTACAATGACAGCATCTTCTGCTGAATAGCTAGAGGCCCGAGTTTGCTGGCTAGTCAGAGCAACATCAGTGCATTTTATGTCATCCCATCTCCGACTTTATTGCACGACTGACTTCTTTTATTTACTTAAGGATAACTGTTAAAATGATTTAAGCTGCTATCAGCTAAGAATATGCGCAGCAACTCCAAGAATAATTGTAAACTTGAATAGCAGATGTAATTCTTTATTAAACATACTTTGTTTTGTTTTGTTTTTCATCACAATTTTAGTTGTAGTCATTCTCAAAAGGTTTGCTGCTATCAAGAGGATCCCTGACAAAATCCACAGACTTCTAAGCACTCTGCAAATGTAGATGCAGTGAAACTCTTGAATTACTTGAATAAAATGAACTGGTTTACGTCAAAGAAATGACGTGAAAATACACTTAATAGCACAGTTGTGTATTAATTTGGGCAGTTTAAATGGCAGAAATTTATCAAGCTTCATGAAGCTGTTCTTTTTCACTGTCGGCTTATTATATTCTGCACTTCAGTCATCTTTCAAAACAGAAACAATCTGTTAAAAGGTTTGTAAACAAAAGGTTTTCAAAACTTTCGTGTCCTTAGATTTGAAAACCTGGGTTGAAACCTCCAAACATGTGCTTTATCATCGTGGGCAAATACCCCAATTTTTGCCTCCTCTAATTTAAAATGTCTTTCTAAGTCATTTAGCTTGAGTTTGTTCCTCATACCTTAAAGAAATCTGCAATGACTTATCTTCGCCATTCTCGGTTTGTGAAATTTTTCAAAGTTGTATGTTTTGAGATCATTCCAACCTGGAAAAAGAATCATCCGTATGAGTCATTAATAACCCAAAAGTAAAATAAAAATGTTCACTCATAATGAGTCAATGTAAACTTCCAAAGGGAACCTCATGTCTGTTCACAGGTAAATCTTTTTTTGTCGTCTTTCCCATTTTTAAGGCATATTTGCAGCACAATGTGGCTTTTAGGCTTGCTTCGAAAAAAAAAAAAAAAAAAAAAAAAGTTTGTCGCTTACTGCATTTTCATCTGATTTTGCTTTGCATGCTTTCAATATCCCAGCAGATTCACAGAACAACGATGTGCTTAAGTATTAAAATTTGGATTGAAACACTTTCAGGTTAGCGTCATAAGAATTGTCACCTGTTTTGTGCCAGCTCTAGGTTTTCTTATGTTGTTTCCCCTCTGTGACACCAAAGTTTCTCAAATCTTTGCAGGCGCTATCAGAAACTTCAGAAGATTATGAAGCCATGGTAAGCCCCCCTCCCTTTCCCGCTCCGTCTTTCGGTCGGGTAATAACACCGCTGGCTCTCTTCTCTTCCTAACCTCGCTGCTCGAGTCTGCATGATTAAGACTCTGGCCTCAAGGGGAATTTTAACACAGGCTTCCCCTTTTAAAAAAAAAAAAAAAAAAAAAGAAAATGCTTAATTTTATTTCCTGCATGTGGTTTGGGCAGCCAGTGACAAAAATGTTCACGAAAAACCCAAAAGAAAACCAAGATTCCCTTTTTTTTTTTCTTTCTCCTTTTTTTGCCTAAAATTTTACCACTTTTACCCAAATTGTGGTTCAGCTGTTTGGTCTTCACCCGAATTATATCTTGGTTCTCTTCAGGTTGAAGGTGTAGTCCGTGCGCTCCCATCGTTCAGCCTCTTTTTGACTTTGATGTTCTTAGTCCAAAGCTTTTATCGTCACAGGACCCTCCTCCATCTTTCTACGAGGACTGCCTCTTTATTTGCCTCAAGTAGTCTTTAGTTTCATTATTTCCATCATTTCTTATTTCTCTATACATTTTTTGTAAAAGAAAAAGCTGTTTCGATTTTTTTCTGGGTGTGAGTTACTAATTTTCCGTGAAACTGTTTTCTAATCCTCTGCTGTGCAGCAGAACTTACTAACCCACTACGTTTACTTTTTAGAGTAGGAGCGCTTATGACGTCATTGACTGTCTTAAATCTCCAAAACCGCAGAACAGGTTTTATTGCCCATAAGGCCTAATGGTCAGTGTTGATAAAAAACAGAGACTCGAAACGTATCGCTCCGTAATTTAACTACCGAGGTAAATGATCCTGACCTGACAAGTGACCGCTGGAGATGGACACCAGCCACCTGCGACTCTGCAAGGATAAGCTATAGTCAGTGGCTGGGTGGACAATTTAAATTAACCTTTGATGATGTTTCACTTTGAGATCGGTGTTCTTTGTTTTACTTCTCGTTAATAAAACCAGTAACCATAAGAAGGTTAAGCCAGGTATAAACAGCAGAGGTCAGCATTGCTTCACTTTTGGTGAAACCAAATCATTTTTACAATGTTGAACCTTTTACTGCAATTTTATTATTATTTCTTTTTTTTACTTTGAGAAAAGTAATAACAAATCCCTGGTTATTTAATTAGGTCGCTCCTGCGGGTTCACGATAATCAGTTATCTAATAACTTCTTGCTCTGGCTTCCTGCCGCGCTCTCAACCTCATCTACTTAATTTATTTCTGCTTTATTTGTGTAACTGCATCTGTCCTGTTAAAGCAGCACCCTCTGGTCCTGAATGAACTCCATCCAGCTCCTGCCGACCTTCTGACAGCCCTGCTGTTTGCTGGCAGCCATTCTGTCTGTGCTTGAGCTCAAAACCTCTTTCCCATGTCTCCTGCTACGCTCGTTTCTACTTCTCTGTCTTCAGCGAGCCATTTTGCAGCCTGGAGTTTTTTTTTGTTTTTTTTCAGGTCGCGCTCTGCTTCCTCTCCGCCACCTTTCTGTCTCTCTCGCTCGCTCGCTCTCTCTCTCTCTGCTGACCGCTTGCTTCTCGTTGCTTCCCGAGGCGTCTGGGCTTTGGGTCGAAATGCTGCTCTTTGCCCACTGGTGGAGAGAAGTTTTCCATTGTTTGTGTTTGTTTTTTATCCCGTAGTTTCGGTGACCTGCTGTCCTTTACTTTGACGGCCTTTGTGGAGTTGATGGACCATGGGATTGTCTCCTGGGATACGTTTTCTGTGGCCTTTATCAAAAAGGTCAGCCAGGAAAATGCCACATTAGCCAGGCTCTACATTTATTGGGAGCCCGTGATTCTCTAGATAGATAGATAGATAGATAGATAGATAGATAGATAGATAGATAGATATTTCATGAGGAATATCCTTTTCACAGTTTGTCAGATTACAACAACCTGGAATGTATTAGAACTAACTGTTTTTTTTGTTGTTGTTGTTTTTTATACATAGTTTTTCCAAGATGTTTTACAGCAAAACTCTTAGCCTCTTTGCTTTCACTTCACAACAATGAACTACTCTGGTAGTGTATGACATAAAATGCCACCAAGAAAATAATGTAGAAAAATGACAAAATGTAGAAAGAATTCAGGACGTCTAAATACTTCCTTCTACCACGGTACATCAGAAAAAGTTAAAAGTAGACTGACTCCTTTGCATTGTTTAAAAAAACAAAAAACCCTGTGTTCTCTGACGATCTAAAGATTGCCAGCTTTGTGAACAAGACCGCCATGGACACAGCAGTGCTGCAGCGTTCCCTGGCCATCCTGGAGTCCATGGTGCTCAACAGTCAAGATCTTTACCACAAGGTGGCGCAAGAGATCACGATTGGGCAGCTCATCCCACACCTTCAGGGGTATGAAATGGAACAGATTTTTTTTGTTAATAACCCGGTTTTCATGAATCACTTTTAAATAAGTCACACGTTTCCACTGATTCCAGGACTGATCAAGACATCCAGACCTACACCATCGCCGTTATCAACGCTCTGTTCCTTAAAGCTCCGGAGGAGAAGAGACAGGTGAGGCTTCCAGCTGCGTTTTGTGATGCAGCGGTGAAACGAACAAATGTGCGACTTTGTGTGCGTTTTGGTTTGCTCTGTGTTCGACGACGAGAACGTCTGTCTTTCCCTTCGTCTTTGCCAAAGTGATGTTCATTCTCTCATCTCTCCCTCTCACCTGTAGCCAATTACACGCTCCCCGCGTCAGCACCACAGGGCCCGGCGATGCACTTTTCACATTAATTATGAATGACGCTAACTCGAGGGCCCGTCTCGTCTTCAGCGCTCGGAGCTGAAGAAACGTTAGGCAGTAAAAAGGGACGCATACAGATTCTAGAGTTGCAGTAAAGCCTTTTTTTTTTTTTTTTTGTTGTGTGCTTGGTTTGCAGAAACTTTTTTTTTTTCTGGGTCACCAGGCTATAAAAATATGTGTCCACGTCTATATATATATATTTTTGCAGACGGGCAGTTCTCTTGTTGCTTATTTTAAGAGTGTGAGCGTCAAATAGCATCTATTTGATTCTTGGTGGTGTATGTGTGCGCACAAAAGGACCTCAACCATCAGTGAAACTATTATTATGGACTCCAGCCCTCCTTCCTCCAATCCCCAGCAGAACCACAAGCTGCACCACTGACATAAATTAGATTATTTATTTATTTATTTATTTATTTTAACTTCCCGCCACATTCACTCACTCACCCTCTCTGTCTCTGTTTCTGACCTTGCTTCCTCACTGCACACGACATGGTAGTTTGATGAGAACATTGTGGACATCCTAAATTGTCCCCTGACAGTAAGTGCACCCTTGATTAGCACACTTCGTAGTTTGCATTGTAGAAGAACATCTGCTAGCGCATCTACTATCCCCTTTAAGTTTCTGTCTTGAGCTTCTTTTTCTTATTGTTTTGCAGCCTGTCACTGCGTAAAACTGCCATGAACTCTTTATTCTTTTCATTTTTGCATAGAAAATTTTAAGATCAGAGGTTTGCCTTGATATGGTGTCTCACTTTTATCACTCCCCACTTTCTCCTTTCTCTCTTCTTATGTTCTTTTTCTCTATTCCTTGTGTTCCCTCTGTTTTTTTTGTCTAAATCCACAGGAGATGGCCCACATTCTAGCTCAGAAGCAGCTACGCTCCATCATTCTCACTGTAAGTTTTTCTGAAACTCTGCAGTTTATTCCCAGTGTTTTCAGCTGATTTTTCCCATCGTCTTCTTTTTTGTTCACCCCCGAAATTCAGACTTTTTCTCACTTCGTCGTCATAAAACTTTCCACCTTTTTATATATTCTATTGATTAAAACTCTTTTTCCTTCTTGACGTCCTCATGCAGAATGTGATCCGGAGCCCCACGCCCATTAATGATGAGATGGCGCATCAGCTGTATGTGCTGCAGGTGCTCAACTTCAACCTGCTCGAGGACCGCATGATGACCAAGATGGATCCTCAGGACCAGGTTCGGATTATCTCTCCCCACACCCCCAAAAAAACCTTTAAATTAAGATAATTGAAACGTTTAAGTATTTTTGTTTCAAAAATATATACATTTTGAGTTGAACACCATAAATTGAAACCACTAGCTTTTACTGTCATTAAAAATATATATATTAAAAAAAGAAAAAGAAACCTTCTCCTGACACTTTAGCTTTGCATTGTGTTCAGACATATCCAGCACGATGCTTCTAAAAAAAGGTTTTTAATGGATGTTATTTAGTTCATCTCACACTTGGCAGAAGAAACAATATTTTTGTAGCTAATTAACCAAAGTAGTGTTGTGCAACGGCTTCCAAAAATAAAATCCGTTAAACTTCTTCACCTCTGGTGATGGATTGGCATACATTTGTTGCCAGTTTTTCCCAGCACAGGGATTTTGTTCTGTATTTATTATCGATTGCAAATTAAATAAAATGCCCTTATTCATAGTGACATGTTTGTTTTTATTGATTAGACATCAATCCACTTTCCTGGCCCTTTAACAGCAGCAAACTCTTGTCTTGTCCAACTGGACTGTAGCGTGTGGGATTATTAGAGGACAAGCACCCACCTCCGCGGTCATTATGTAATCAAGCTGCCAAAATAGGTACAATAATTACCTTTTACATTAAGAAAAACGGCCTCACATTCGACCTCAGATATCAAGAAATGATGATGGTACTAACAATTAATATTGATTTGGCCTCTTAATAAAGCAGTGTGTGAAAATGGTTGTTGGCCCTCTTAATTTCATAAACTGCCAGACAGCTCAGATGAGTCAGCAGGATTCTTACCTTATGAAGCTCTGAATGGAATAACGTGGCCTCTGGTTCTTGAGCTGCACTTTAATATGCCCCCCTCTGCGTGTTCAGGCTCAGAGGGACATCATCTTTGAGCTTCGAAGGATTGCCTTCGATGTGGAGTGCGAGCCCAACAACGGAGGCAGCATCGAAAAGCGCAAATCCATGTACACCAGAGACTACAAAAAGCTTGGCTTCATTGTAAGTTAGACGTGTGTGTGTGCGTGTGTGAGGTCTTTTTTTTTTTCTTTTTTAGAGCTGCAGCAGAATAACTTAAGCTAAAACTACCTTTGCTTGACATGAGCCTGGAGCATTTTTGGGGGGGGGCGACCTCTATGCTTTTGCACTTGTGTGCTCAGTAAAAATGAGGTCAACTTGACTGCCTCGTTCCTCTGCCTTACAGCTTTTATGCTTCCATTCAGACACGTACACTTAGACGCAATAATAACGGTCCTCCACTCATGTACTACAACTCCATTGTATCAGTTTTTACTGAAGTAACTTTTTCAAGATGAAAAGTAATTTTAAGAGTGCATTTTTACTGCACCATACTTTTAACTTTGACTCAAACTATATATATATATATATATATATATATATATATATATATATATATATATAGCGATACTTTACTTGTTTGTAAACATACAAGATCAAGTATGTTTACTTGATCTTGCAGATCAAGTAAACATACAGTAAACACTACATACATATGGTCACTGGAGGTACTTAATGCTGTTCTAACATATATATGTTGCTTACTGTTATTGGTGTTATAAGTTTATTTTGAAAATATTTTTTTCAAATGTTCTTTCTCCCCCAGCAGCTGAAAACTGAACTAGTCACACTTTGCGCACTTTGTTTTTATTGATTCTTGGTTGGCTGAGCATAAAATGACAAAGGTTCACAATTAAGAGTCAGTTGTGTGTGTTGAGTGTCGCTCTGTATTCGTGTCTTCCTAGAATCATGTCAATCCAGCCGTGGATTTCACCCAGATTCCTCCAGGCATGCTGGCTCTCGATAACATGCTTTACTTTGCCAAACACCACCAGGATGCTTACATCAGGGTAAGTGCACGCACACACACACGCGCACACACACACAACACACACACACACACACACACACAAAGTGGAGTTGTGTTGATGCATCCTGTGGATCTAGCTGGGAATGGCTTTTTTTTTTTTTTTTTTAGGTGTTTGGTCTTTTCTACTTCTATCAAACTTTTTTTTCCTCCCTCTTGGCCATTTATTTGTACCGTAATTTCTTTCCTTTTTTTGAAAATGTCAAATCAATAAAATGACAATTAAATGTTGTTATAAAAAAATGTTACACTTGCTCAGTAGAACTTAATTTCATAACCACCTTCTCCTTTGCAGAAAGTCTGACTTCTTTGAGAGTTTTATTATCATGCTAACATGGGAGCAACCCCAACACCCTAATAATTTTCCTATTAAATCTGTCACAGCCTGAATAAGCTGAGACCTTCATGCCAATTTGCCATCACCCTAATGATACAAGTGTGGGCTTTTCATGCATTTGTCACTGTCAGCGTGACAAAAAAAGGCAGCATTGCACACTTATTCTCCTCCTCCATTGTTAAAGCGCTTCCGAAAAAGAAGTACTTACGTTCATGAACCTCAATGAATTTTTGGGGAATTTTCTATGTCAATCCAACAATAAAATGGAAAGTGGAAGAAAAAAACTTCATGATTTCCAAAATGTATCGGTGTTTTTTTTTTTTCTTTTTTGTACTTCAGCCTTCATTAGTTTGATGCACCTAAAAGAATTTTCAATTCAACCAGTTACCTCAGATTTATGTCAGCATAAATCCAGCGGTTCTGTAAAGACTACTTTTTTTCTGTATATTTCTTATATAAAATTTGAATTCATTTTCTTGTGGCATGTGTGACGTTGTTGGCTAAGTGAAGGGTCTGCCCTTTTAAATGACATGCTGACGGAAGGGAACAGGAGCGAGAGCAAATGGGTGAAACACTCTGAGTCAAAATGCCTTCAAATGTCATTTCACTTTAAGAAATTTCTTTCCCTTTTTCCACCATGTGGATTTTCCAGATCGTCCTAGAGAACAGCAGCAGGGAAGACAAACACGAATGCCCGTTCGGCCGCAGCAGCATCGAGCTGACCAAGATGCTCTGCGAGATCCTGAAAGTCGGCGAACTTCGTAAGTCGTCCTCGGCAAAAAAAAAAAAAAAAAAAAAAAAAAAAAACACAGATGCCGTCACATGTTTGCACAAATTCCTCGTTACAAACGTTGGAACTCTCTGCATAATGTACCGGAGAGCAAAACAAAATCTCTTTTCCTATTTTCACTCCACTTTACTTGTTTAAATGGGCAGCTTGTTCTCAGCTCTGCTCCAGACTGACCCCTGCTGCTCCCGGTGGGAACGGAGGAGGCAATTTTAGCTTCTGTTTTTAGGTTGACGTGCCCTTTTCCACAGCTCTTGTTTTTTGGGGGGTTTTTTCCCAAGGAAATGTGCTGCAGGATCCATTTGATGATTCTCAGAAACATGTCCCTCATTTATTTTTAAATCATGAGTGAATTTTGGCTCTAAAGCACCTCTGAATATATAGAAGATGAGAGAACTGCACCAGTTGTTATAAATCTACCAGCCTTAAGAGAATCAGTGGCTGAATAGAGGAGCAGGATACATTTTGTATGTTTTCATGTGCTTTGCAAATTTATTTTTTCCTTTTTTGGTGTTTTTCTCTTTCAGTCATCTGAGATTCTTTTATTCTAATATTTCATTTATTTATGCATGCTAGCCTTTGCTACAGAGCTCTTGTTAGTTTTTTTTTTTAAATCAGCTTCTTTTATCCATTCCATATTCGAAATGCCCCTGTGACTCCCTCTTCTTGCAGACTGAAATTTCTTTCCTTTAGTCTTAAATGATAATAATTCGAGAATTGCTTTGTCCTCATTCTTTCTGTGAAAATTATGCTTTAAGAAAGCCTTATTTTTTTTAACGACTTTCCTGATTAAAACTAAAAACGCTGAGTGAAGTATATGCTTTTTGTGAAATGTAATGGGTATGTAACAGGTTATTGGCATTTTGTTTGAAAATCTGATTTTTTTTTTCCCTCATATGCTGATAAAACCTCAGCAGAATCACTGCCCTGACCTTGACTTGCTGTTCTGAGGTTTCCCCTGGTGGCTGCGCTCTTTGCTGCGTCTGTTATTTGATGGGGTTGAGTCCATAAATATTAATTATAAGCTGCAGCCTGTTTTATAATTGTTCAACACAAACTGACAGTAGGTATAGGTACAAGAATAGGGAGGAACCCATGTTCTTCAAAGACTTATTTGTGTAAGTGCATCATTTGCTAAAAAAAAAAAAAAGATAAAATATGCACTTTGAGTGGTGTGAAGTATGCCATGTGAAACAAAAAATGTCATTGCAGTGAGACATAAAAGAGAATAAAGTGAGTTTGTTTTATTGGATGCCAAATCTTCAGCGTTTGATCCATTTCTGTCTGGTTTTGAGTTGATATTTTCACCGAACTGGACTATATGAGCCTGTCCTACATGCTCTCCATCATTTTCTTTGCCAAAAGTTGAACATGTTCACATTTTTTTCTCGGTACATTCACAACGCTACCTGGTATTTACTTGGGTTTAATGGCATGAATCTGCATTCATCCTTAAAGTTAGTACTTTGAACATCCCTCTGTGCAATTACTGCTACAAATATACCAGTATTATATATCTGGAGACAGAAATATTTCATCCTTTACAAAATTGCTCATCTTGTGTGAATTTGGATGGATAGTGTCAAAGAAACATCACTTCCCCCCCCAAGTCTCGACTTTGTCTGAATCACTTTAACATCAGTATGTTTTGGCCCAAACCCTGTATCTCTGGCTGTGTGTTTGAGGTTGTCGTTTTGTTGCATGGTGGGCCTCTAACAGGACTGACCTTGGTTCCGACTCCACCAGGTTTCCCTGTAGGTGCATTGTGTTCAACATGAGCAAACACCCGATCCGTCCTGCAGCTCCTCCAGAGTTACCGATCATTTCGGCTGCTTGTCTGATAAACGTCCTTTCTTTGCCTGTTAGTTTAAATGGATCGCTACTCCTTTGATTTTTGGCGGATGGGTTATAAACGGTGCTCTGTGAAATACCCAACACTTGGAACCCTGGTTCAGACTTATCCACACAGCTTCCTCCCTGATCCGTCTGCTGTGTTCCTTCATCTCCGTGATGCTCTTTGTTCGCTAATGCTCCCTAGCAAACCCTAAAGGCCTTCACAGAGCAGCTGGATTCATTCCGAGATCCTGTCACATATGCGTACATTAAAACACATGGAGTCGAATGGGTGTAGCTTAGGCCAAGGGAGCAGGTGCTGAGGGAGCAACACTGGATCGCTCTGCTCCTGTGTGTGTTTCTCTGTGAATATGCAGCGTGTGTGTCGGTGCTTCAGTGTGCTCTTCCCAGAGGGAAGGTGACGAGGGGAACGAGTCCCAGCTCCACATTGAAACTGTCATCATTCGGTTGACCTTTCCGTGGGGAAACATAGAAACTCCTGACACTAATGAGGATGTTGGAGGCTGCGTCTGTCTCTCTGTAGTGTTTTATCAGTTTTGGTAGTGTCCTATTTAAGTCAGCACGCTTTCTATAGTAAGACACAAGAATAACATTTCAAGAGAGTGACTTTTTTTGTTTTTTTGTAGCTATCGAAAACGGGAACAGTAGCATATTACTGTAATAAATTTTTTATTATGGTAGCTTTGTTTTTTTTGTATTCTGCTGCAGAAACAAACGTCAAAACGTTTTTAATCGTCATCTTAGTCATTTGTTATCTAATCTCACTAAATTAAAGTGAAATGTCGATATTCTTCTATGAGCTAAGGTGAAGTTAGATGAACTGTTCAACTTATCACATAGATAAACAGTGGCAGAGTTTCTTAAAGACTTAATTTATGCACACAAAAAAAACCCTCTTGATTTTGTTAAAGTAAAAGTTTCTTATAAACAAACAAAGTTCCAAACCCCAGATGCCATAAAAGTTGATTGGTGTTGCTTCCTTGAAGAAAGAGACAGCAGATGAATGTTGACGGTGCTGACGTCTTTCTGGCTCGCTTCTGAAATGTTCGTATTTGACTCTGCTGCTCACGCAGTCTGTTTTCATTCTCCCAAGAATCAAACTCTGTGGGATTCTGGATGAACCGGTGCTCTTCTAGCTGTGTTTCTTCTCCTCTTGCCTCTTGATGCCTTTTTTTTTTCCCTCCTCGCTGGATTGTTGGTGTTTACCTTTTATTCCCACTTTCAGGGGTTCTAATTTCTTTTTAAGGAAATACAAAAATATGTTTCTTTAATGTTCCAGATTCCCCGTGTCTATCTAATTAAATTTGGTGAAATGAGCTAAGCTTTTGTATTTGAATTGGATGTGAGTGCTCCGAGTCTCTAAATAATTCATAACACACTGCAGGTATCTCTCTCTCTCTCACCTCCCTCCATTAAATCATACTATTTCCCCCTCACATTTGCTGATGCCCTGCCTCGGATCCCCTGAAAGATTAATTGTGTCACCGTGTTTCTGCTGGAACACGGAGCTTAATGGAATCTGCGACTCACCGAGCCACGTCTTCGCCGACTCCCCGGGTTTAAGTCGGCCTGTGTAATATTTATAAAGTTATTTTGAAAGGGTCAGACATGGTGAGTAATGGCCCTGCTTGGTGATTCACAGTGTGCCGCCTCAGCAGCGGGGATAGCGTGCCGGGTTTGGTGAAGCACGTCAGGCCCAGGCACGGATAGAGACCCGACCGCGGATGTGTATATTCACATGAAGGGCCAGAGATCCGGCAGATCCCGTATGGAAGCTCACGAAAACAGTCGAACCTGACAGGAGCACTGGGAGGACCTTGATTAAGTCATGGCTGGATTGTTACATGTCAAGTTCTTCAAAAAGCTCCCCAACAATTTGCACTGTTTAATCCATCCAGAACAAATCAAAAGAGTATGACACAAACGTATCTATCCACATCAGGAAATGAGTAATGAAAACCTCAAAGCCCAAGATAGACATAGCAAAAAATATTTATCCAATAGTCCAGCTTCTTTATTATTCAAATTTCTGATATTTCCAGTTTTGTATTATAATATTAGACCAGCATTCTTGATTTGGATCAATGCTGCGTCCTGACAAGGCAGAGCATTATTATGGATCTCTGGTTGGTGCACATGTTAACTTGTGAGGATTAGGCATGAAGTAAAAATGGTTTTAGTTTTGATTAATTAGAATACCGTAAAAAAAAAAAAAAAAAATCAATGCCACATCCCAATTCAACCAGTTTTGCAAGCTCGTGTGTGTGTGTGTGTGTGTTTCTCAGAAATAAACGTGCGCTGCGTCCAAAGCCACAAGATGACTCAGCTATCCAAACTTACCGAGCTGACAACTTTCTCGGTAATTAGATTTTTTACTTATTTTTGATTTTTTTTTCTCCGGCAACATCAAACCTTCGCTCACACACACTCCTACACTCGCATAAATATAACCATTGAAAAGTGTCCAAGTGTGAGATGAAAATATAGTTTGGACTGGCCCGCTGTGTCAGATGCAAGATGTGTGGAGTTTTTCGAAACTCACCACAAACGTGCCGTTCACGCAGACTTGGGGTCAGGGACCCGTTCTCAGGTGGCCAGTGATAAAATAATAATAATTATCCAATTCTCAATTTATATAAAATCATTATCAGATAATCCTGAAATACCACTTAACTGAATATTGGTTATTTTTTTGTCAGTAGGATCTCTGTATTTGTAGTTTTATTTATTTATTTTTTTGCAAGTAGTTTCAAAACTTGTTTTTAAATCAGAAATGAATGTTTCTTAATTTCTTTCGCTGAAGATTCAAAGTAAAAAGTTCTATAATCTTCGTATGATGCTCATGTGCTGTTAGGAAATGTGACTCCCATGTACCAGAATCAGCAGGGGTCATAATCTTTTGTATTTCACCGTAGTCGAACGGCACAAGAGGGACCAGAGCCACACTTTGGTTAGAATATAAAACACAGAAAATAATACATGAATGACATTAAATCATATGTGAAATGTTAGGGTTTCATGATTATTTATCACTGTAATCCATCAAAAATACTTAGCTAATGAGAATTAAAGTCATTAAATGTATGAAATTGAAGTCCATTGGGATGAATAGAAAGGGTT